GTTATTTTGGGGCACAAAAACCCCTCGTAGGTCATCATCTGAGAAGGAGATGAGGTCCTCCAGCCTCGGCCTCTTCAATGCTTGGTTTTAAATGTTTTACTTCCTGGTGTATGCCTTTCGAGATGAGGAAAATGCTCCCACCAAGACCAAGACCACGTCTATGACTTCAACGACTCTAGCTAGGGGAGATGGGTATGGGGCTTAGCTTGTGGCTGTTACGAGGATGACATTGGGGTGTCACCTTCAACATAATATTTTAAGTGTCTATGGTGGATGAGGGACTTGATCTCGTTCTTGAGCTCGTAATAGTCCTTGGTGTCATGGTTGGTGCCATGGTGGTACTTGTAGTACTTCTTGGGGTTCTCCCTTCTTGGGTTCTTCTTCAACTTGGATAGCCACTTCATGAATTCCTCCTTCACTAGTTCCATTAGTATATGCGTTTGGGAGGAGTCTAGTGACATGAAGTTTTCGAAGGAAGGGGCCGACGGCTTCTTTTCACTGCCCTTGTGGGCCTGCCACCATGGCCATCCCTTTTCTTCCTCTTCTTGTCATTGGCCTTGCTTCTGGATTTTGGAATCATTTATTAGCTTCGGCCTCCTTGATAGTGATGTATTTTTCAACCTTCTTACAGAACTCGGCTTTGGAGTTGGGCGAAGTCATGGAAATAGACTAGATGAGGGGTCCAACCCGAAGGCCACTAATAGCCATGGCCATGGAGACTAAGGGGTCGAGGTCCTTAACTACAAGTTTTTCCTAGTTGAATCCCTTCATATACTCTTGAAGGATTTCCCTGAGCTTCTACTTGATGGACATTAGGGAGATGATAGTTTTTTGACATCGTCGGCTACTCACAAAGTGACCCAGGAAGAGGTATGCGAATTGGTCCCAAGAGCTGATGGAGTGTCGAGGCAGTGTTGAAAACCATTGGCGTGTTGCTCCCTTAAATGTTGCCTAGAAGGCTCGACACATGAGAGAGTCGGAGTATTCGTGCAGGAGCATGCAGTCCTGGAAGCTTTCCAAGTGGTCCTCGGGGTCTATACTCCCATTATAGGTCTCCAATGCTGGGGCCTTGAAATTCAACAAGAGGGGTCCGGAGGTGATGGAATCAACTAAGGCCTCCAACAGGTTGAATGAGGCATGGTAACTAGCAAAGGCATCACCTTATTTTTCTTGTATCTACTGAAGTTGATCCTGAATGACATCAATCTGTGCCTGAATATCTCTGAAGCGCTAGTCAATGTATGGAATTGATGCTTTGGTTTGGTACTAGTTCCCTCTTATGCGGGATGGGCCAACCCTATTCCTAGAGTGCTTGGACATCGATACGACTTGAGCCTTGCAAGTGCGGTGATCGTTGAGGGGGTTGTGAAGGTCGGAAACCAGCGAGGGAGAGGCACGACACTGGCCTCCTAGCCCTAGAGGGGGACTATACTGGCCCAAGTGCCCACCGTTGTCCCGGCCAGTCTCTGTGTGACAATGTTGACGATTGTGGTTCCTATGCTTGGCATGGGACCCCACGGGGTCACCCCCTCGGCTGGGGAGCTAAGAGGTCTCAGAACAGGGCTTTCTAGCCCATTGGCTGCTACTGTTGGATTTCGAGGGGTTGGCCCTCTTTGGGCTACCTAAGCACTGGCTTAGTGGGGGCATGGGCGGATCATTCATTGTGTTGTTCATGCCTCCTGATAAGGCAGTCATCATTTGGCTGGCCTCCTTCCAAATGCCCTATATCGTCCAACTGCTGGGCTAGGTTGTCTAGCCTGTCCAGGACCAGCTTGAACTGATTGATCGTGACTAAGTTTTGAACGTTAGGAGTGTTGTCTTGCTTATCAGATATTTCGGAAACACTAGTTGATTAGGTTAAATTTGTTTTCTTAGGAGAAAGTCTTACAGACGTTTACCACAGACGATGTCAATTGTTACTACCAAATGTGGAGCTAAGGGCAACAACATACTTTCTGGTGTCCGGAGCCAACAACTCCAACCTATTGGGACAAAGAAGATATCAGGCCCCCCGGGAGTTATCCCAGGGCAAAGGCTCTAATGGTCAAGTTAGACAAGGGCTACGAGGGCTCAGACCAAGCAAATAAGAAAACATAGAGCTAAAGTCTGCATATCCACCTCAATGTGGGAACCCTTTTTAAGACTCCAACGATCAAAATGCGTCCGACCAATGCCATATATCAAGATCCATAGATCAGCCAGATATTCCTACATCACCACCATTAAAGCTCATCTGATACCATTTTGATGATTTAAACTCAAGAACTATAAACTTATACCGTAAGCCCTCGTTTCACCAAGAACAAATCATTGTGTTACACCTAGGTCATTGAGAACCAACAAAATATTAACTATTACCTATAAATATTACAACCCATTGATGCACTAAATATTTTTTAAAGACCTACACCAATGTAATTGACAATTTCCAAACCATGCACCTAAGATGCGATGGTTGCACGTTGAGTTTTGATGGTTATAACCCAATTAAACATCAAATTTCACCATAAAACTTTGGCCTCACATGACTCCATAAGAATGATTCCAATCATTTGACATGACGAAAATCAGGCTTTAATATTCGGGGCATATTTATTACACAATCAAACATTTCCAAAAAATATGGATCTCCAAATGTATACCCAACACCAAATTCCACATTCAAACACCAACATTTCACCAATAATCTCATCAAATATCCATTTTACAATCTTGATCACAAGATGTTAAAATTGAGATCTTACTTTGTAAATACATATTTCATCAGATCATTTTTCCCATAATAGTTGGCTCCTCAAAATGTACTAATCCATCATGTCTAGATCTACCCAACGCACCATAAATCTCGTATCCAATACTTTTGAACGATCTAGATAAATGAAGTAATGAATATAAAATATCCCATGATTTTAACACTATAATAAATAAATCACACTTCCAATAGATTCAAGATCCCAAAATTTAGTAATCCACCAAACCCCATCTTGAAACTTTATAACTTCACCATTCATCTCATATGATACCACAATAATGACATATATAAGTGAACCGTCAATATTAAATTGTGAGTTGTACAAACTTTTATCGTCAGATCAGACCCCTCTATCATACTCGGCTCATAACGATTTAGTTGCACACCATCTCTTACATTTGAACTCCTTTGATCCAGAACCCCCTTCCCTTCTGATATTATTTCATTGGTTGAACCATCATAGCCTAAATTCCATACCATCTATATACTTTTTGGGCAAACTAGTAAATGGGTACTTGCAATGCACCTGGTGGAATTTCTTAAATTGTAACCCGCCAAAAGCTCTTCTACTCTAGCCTACTCTTTCGTGTACAATGGAGGTAATATGAATCCACTAGAGATGGATGAAGTCCAATCCAATCCAACTTTGGATCAAATTAGATCGGTCCAATTCAATGTTTGAACCAACCAATCTGTTCAAATTGGTTCCAACCAAAACCCTGGTCCTTTGACACTTTATCCTTATCTTCTATCAATGGATCAGATATTGGTTCAATATGACCCAATCCAATATAAATTCATTACAGATGAATAGGTCCAATCTAATCCAATAAATATTTTGAACCATTAAGTCTGGACTGGTCCAAGTCAATATGTCTTATTGGTCTGCCCAATTTGTCCAAATTAGTTTTAATTTGGATAAGGTGCAATCAAAACCGGTCAATTGATTTTCATTTCTCAACTATCATATAACTAATATATATCGTGCATTAATTTGTAGAAGAAAATTTCATTTCCTAGGCAATCAACAATAGCTAAATCTAGTGCTATGCCGAATATCATTCTCTTAATTTCCACTACTATTGCTGATTTAACATTGATAACTTATTTTCATAATGATTTTGGTCTTGGATTATGACATCCTCTAGTTCCACTTATGAAAACCTCAAGGCATTATGTATGACATTTAATCCTGTATATCATCATACTGATAAAACAAAATAGATATAGATAAATTTACTATGATCGATCTTTTATAAAAATGGTGGATCACGGTACTTCCATGGTTACTAGATCCATTTCCTTTACCATGCAATTGACTGATATCTTTACCCAGCCTCTCAAGGGGAAACTATGTGCTTTGAGGTTCAAGTCATTGACAAGAAAGAGATGAGACATGGTAGACTCCAAAAGTAGGCCACAAACAAGAATACTATATGCACAACTGATCAACAATAGCTTTTCCTCTTCTCCCCCTTTCTCCCTTCTTTGCCTCTCTCTAACGATATTTGCACCTCTAAATGTCCCTTTTACCATCTTGTCTGATACACATCCACTAAGTTTTTAAATTTCTTGTAACGTGGGATGCCACTAACCTTAAAATTATTGACCTCTTCCATCACATCAATTTATCCACATTGTCCAAAGGAACCCGCTCCTCCTCTAAGCCATACCAAGATTTCTTCAAAAATCTTTGAAGTGGTGGTTTACTTTCCAAGGCATGGAAGATGTTCATTTCATTATCCTCACCTCCCCAAAAGAACAAATTTTCCAACTTACCCATCTCGATGTCATTTCCAACCCTCTGGGATACAGTAACACTTATGTTATGTTTGAAGGAAAAAGTAGAGAAAGGAAAGGAAATGATGGGGTAGAGTGTCTTGACTATGGGGTGGGGATAGGAATGGGGTGCCTCACCCCAAACCTACTCCATTGTCATTCCTATATAATTATCAGTGAAATTAATAAAAATGTTAGTTTTTATAATTATTTTTATTTATTTAAAGTCAATCAAAATTTTATTTAAAAATAATGAAAATAATAACAATAATTAAAATTACTACAAGTGGTTAATAAAATTAAATTTATTAAAAATATTTGTTCATATTAAATTAATAATAATTATTTTCTATAAATCAACATTAAATAAAAACATAATTATTAAAAATTTAAATATTAACGATAACTTTAAATACTTTTTTGTTAATTAACAATAAATTTTGATTATTAATATATAATAAATGCATACCACTACTTTGAGGACCCATGATTGAGATGATGACGTAGGACGATCCGGATTCATCCAACTTCAGAATTTTCGAGAACTTGTCATTAAATATTCCCTCTTCCTCAATTAGTTGGGTAGAGTAACGTACATCCTTCTTTTCTGCTGATAAAAGAAAACATTTTACTTGTACCGTATAAGATTAAAGTGTAAAAGCATGTTATATGAATTTCAATACATTGATTTAACATTTATATATACAGAAATTAAGGCTCAGTAGTTTGGAAGGAGTATAAATACGTAAGGTATAAAATCTTGTATTTTGTATTATTTTGTATGTATTTATATTATATATATTTGTATTTGTATTTGTACATCTTCCAAATTGAGCCCTAGGTGTATATATGCTATAATAAATGAGTAAAGAAAACAGAATGAATCGGTGCAATCATGAATCAACAGGGTCCCATGTGTTCATGTGTAACAACTAACAAGCATATATGCGTTTATTCTGAATTTAGATCTCCTGCTCACTGCTCACAAGTAGAGGTATAAAGTGGATTGTGCTGGTCTGGCATGGCTCGCTGGTGGTTCGTGTTAAGTATAGCCTATGCCATATTGTGCCGTGGGTCGGATTGGCCTAGTCTTGGCCCAAGTTGGGCCATGGACAGGTTCAAATTTATTTTTGCCTATTTATTTAAAAAAAATTGAAAAAAAAACTTAAAATTTTAATTTTATATGAATTTTGATGTATACAATTGCTTATATATATAATAATTAAATAAATTAGTATAATAGAATTGAAAAAAATTATTTATTTTATTAATATATTATATACTATATATTATTATATAAGTATAACTTATATAATGTATTTTGTATTATATAAATATATAAAATATATAAATATTATGTATATATATAAATATATACATAAAATATATATAAATAGTACATATGGACTGTGCCACAAGCCATGCTGGCCCATGGACTTCAAACCCCAGGCCCAGCATGGCACAGACCATCATTCGGACCTGGCACGGCCCGTGGGCTGTTGTGCTGTGCCATGCTAGGCCGCCATGTTAGGCCACAACGGCTCGGTCCGATTTACACCTCTTCTCATAAGTATCCTTTCTATAACTACCTACATGGCACTACTGGTTACGTAACATCCTACTACACACAGAGGTGGGACTATGCGAGCAGCAGCGTATCTCCTCACAAATAGGTGTCTCACAGGCACATCCACTGTGCGCTGAGAATATCTCCTATGAATAATAATTAATAAATACAGGAGATGTTTTCAATGCATGATAGGATGTGTGAGGCACCTAAGGTGTGAGTAGCACATCCGATCAAAGAAATCAGGAAAGGCAAAAGTACATTACTTATGAAGGTGCAAGTTGAATAAAACGTTACATACAAGACCGGATCTGCTGCTGACATAGGGCGCCTCACAATAACCTCACACGCACATCCTACCATGCATTGGGAACATCTCCTGTGCTTATGAGTTCTTATTCATGGGAGATGTTCCCAATACACGGTGGATGTGCCTATGAGGCGCCCATGTGTGAGGAGCAAATCCCATTCAGTTACATGCTTTATACTTGGCACAGGTGCATAGTCTTAGCAATAAAGTTTGGGAGTTCAGATCTGCACCCCACTATGTCCCACAGTACATCTCTGCCGTGTATTGGGAACATTTTCCGATGATATACCAAAATGATGATGTCATCATCGAAAGATGTTCCTACTACATGGCTGAGATGTGCAGGGGACGTTGTGGGAAGCAGATGAACCATGAGTATACCGCATTTGGTAATAGTGTAATACTTGTAAAAAAAGTTAGCAAATTGGCTGCCCACAATGATCGGTCAAGAGTCGACCGAGTGGTTTGGCAAGTAACAAAACCGAAGTTCCTCTGGTGTTTCACCTTTCTCATCATTTTATTGTTCTAACTGCAAAACATTTACTGATTATTCAAGTTGCCTTGATAAGGCATAATTTGTTTATCTTCTGATACTCCATTGCCTGCGGTCTGCAAGTCGAGTTCTTCCGACATATTCCTAGTGATATACCATGCATTTAGACGTAACAATGTGAAATCAAATACAACAAAGCCAATCTTGGTGATCTGTTGATATAGAACTCTACGTCTTTAAATGATAACCAAAAAGTTTTGGTTTCGCCTACATTTAATCCGATTTATCTCATACTCTGATGATATATTTTTGTAGTCAAATTGGATCCGTATTTTGTAATTTATATCTAATTAATAATCAGATTATATTTGGATTTAATTCCATTTGAACTGATTATTATATTATGCTATATATAATTTATTGATTTTCATATATAAATTTTATATATTATATTTAGGTATTGTTTGATTTCACATAAACAAGTATTTTTCAAATTTAAATAAGTACATAAAACAAGTTGAGACCACACAATAAGTGAAAAATAAGCACTTATTCTGTTTAGTAAATAAATCAGAAATAAGTGCTTATTTCAAAAATAAGTAACCTTTGAGCTGCTTACTTATTGTCTTATCCAATAAGCGCTTATTCACATCTTTTGGGCAAATCCATCCCAAAAATTTTCAAAATGCCCATATTTCACCCACGAATGGAGAAAATCCTATTGCCTTCTCCATTCACACAAGACAACCATTGCAGCAACAGGTTCAACAGAGGAGGCGACTAGTGACTTATCAAACGACCAAGAATGACCAGTGGGTGCCTAGTTTTTTATTTTTTTGTTTCATCTTGCATCTACTCTCCCTCTCTCTCTCTCTCTAAATCTCTGTATTTAGGAGTTTTTTTACGCCTAAACTAGTTTTGTGTTTTTTGTTTTTTCAGATTTCGTTTTTTGAATTGAAAAAGCAACCGAAAATTAACTTCTCGACGATAAGAGGTATGGCTTCTTAATTGAACCTCTTGGGTTGCTTTAGTGCTATTTCATTTATTTATTTCTTTTTTGTATATTTTAGTGAAAAAGCACATAAACCAATTTTCATTGAAATTTTTAATGATATTATTCAAATAGTAATGCATTGTTATTATTGCTATTGCTATTACTGTTGTTGTTGTTACTCAGCAAGAATTTTAACCCTTCCTTCCACCTAAGAAAGGGACTGAGGAAGTTGCCTGGATCTTGTGGTTTTCATCTACACAATTACCATATTTATTGGTATATGAAGGATTGTCATGTGTACAGACTAGAATAATTTGAAATATAGATACCAAAGAAAAAGAATTGGAAACACATCTCATGATCTCACATAAAATATCTGTCTCAAAAGGTGGGCTATCCAAATTTCTGTCTGGACTAAATAATTTGAATTCAAAGCCAATGACCCAATAGTTAATATGATCAATTGGCAATGGCCTACTTTGGTAGAGGCTGCAAAAAAGAAATAAACTCACATTCGATTTACAATATTAATGGATTCTATTGGATTATAATTTCATTAGAAATTAAAATACAATAGGGTTTGATTGATTAATTACATGGAAAATATATTTGTACATATATATTCAAATATCATAGCAAAAGTAATGTCAGGATTGTTTAGAACCATCCAATGGGCGGATTAGATATTTTGTAAAAAACTAACAAATTTATTAGAATGGATACCCCAGCCTATCTATTCCCATTCAACAAATGGTTTCACTGAATGAATAAACAAAATTTATATATCAGAATGAGGAAAATAGGTAGTTCAGACAATAAAACTCCCAAATAAAGCAATTCAGACACACAAAAAACAATTAAGAGATCAGGTTCACCTCACCCATTTGCAAATCAGAATAAATTTTATGACAGGAAAAGAAAAATATATGACGGAAAGAAGAAACAAATAAAGAATAAGAGGAGACAAACCCATAGAATCGGTTGCTATCCAGACAACTGAAAAAAGTGGGCTGTAAAGACGGTGGACCGCCAAAATTTTCCGAGGAACTCTCGACTGAGAGTAAAGAGAAAGCGCAGGAACCGCCCGACACATGAGCTTCATTTATAACAAAGCTATTATAGAATGATGAACATCAGTAAACCATCAGCTGGGAGTTCAGGTTTGCAGCCAACAATTTCTTCCGATACTGTCCCAACTAAATTCGTATCAGCGCGCCCCCCACACGCCCCACATCTTCTCAATGCACATGAGATGTGCATGTGGGGGTATTCTCCGTGGGGTGTCAATCTGAACTCGTCACAAATTGCTAGGGAACATTTTTTGTAAAGCCATAAATAATAGGACAGATATTCCTAATTTGCGGCTGCAGTGGTCGATTGAGCACCGTTGGGAGTGCTGTATTGGAGTTTACATAGTTCATAGTTCATACAGGGGGGACGAAAATATTCTATAGAAATTACCACATCTCAAAGTCAGGACTATACGGAATCTAAGCTTGATGTTAGTTTGGACTCCAAAAATATATCAAATGCGTTTGATATTTTGATATCCGACCTAAACTCTCCAACCGTTTCATTCAGTACTCCATCTCAAATTCATCTCTCAAAACAGGTCAGTTTTGAGTTTCAAGTATACATTTGTATTTGTATTCTTTCAAAACTGTATATTTGTATTTGTATTCTTTTTAAATTGATCTTAATGCTTAGTTTGGAAGGAGTATAAATATAAATATATAGAGTGCAAAACCTTGTATTTTATATGTATTTGTACTGTGCATATTTGCATTTGTATTCCTTTCAAATTGAGCATCATAATGCTTAGTTTGGAAGGAATACAAATACAAATATATATAGTGCAAAACCTCGTATTTTATATTATTTTTCATATATTTGCAGTTATACTCTTTCTAAATTGAGCCTAAATAAAACGCATCAAAGCTTCAAATTTTTAATAGGAAACGCTTGCATTGGGTGTATCTTATCGGCAGATCTATGACAAAGCTATTTTAAGGCTTTTTTAGAAACCCTTCCTTTCTAATATTAAATAACTTTAAGATAGTCTCCATGTAAAAGTATGAGAGAAAAAATATAAAAGAAAAAAAAAGATTTTCATTGAATTCACATTTCCGCTCCACAATGCCACAGAGCAGTGTATTAGGAGCATCTTCCGTTCTCGTACTATCATCGGGAGATATTATAAATATACAGCAGGATGTATTGTCGGGCGGAGATGTGAACTCGTTTTCATTCACTCACAACATCTGCACATGTTCGGCCTATTAAGTGGCATCAATACATTTAACCATGAAAGCATCTACTTTTTAAAATGCAATTGGTGTGCTAATTATATATTTCTTGTTTTGTTGCAAAGAAAATTAAATAAAGAAAAACATTTGTTAAAATGAATTCAATTGAAACCTTTCTTGTTGGAGTTGTTTATTCATTGTCCTCATCCATCACCTCGTTACATCGTAATTTTAAATTTCCAACGTATTTGAAGCATGTCTAATTTTAAATTTCCAACTTGTCAAATTGTACAAAGTCATCACTTTTTTTTCTTGTAATTAATTCAAACGAAACAGGAATCTGTCGTTAAATTCAACATTTAAATAACATCATAATTGGACAAAGTCATCGCTTGAATTCAATATTTAAATAACATCACATCATAGTTATTTTTTTAATACTATAATTAGTACAATTTGACAAGCCAACAAAATTCAGAGCAAACCTTCTTACAGTTTAGCACTCAAGATTTTTTATTCCTTTTATGAGCATACTCAAGAGGTCCTTTTGCGTATTAAATACTGATGTTAGGTAATTCGGGCACTCCTAGCTGGCAGAAACTTGGCTCCTACCTGATGACGGGCAGTATCTGAGAAGAAGAGGAAGATGAAGGATTTCCGGGGAGTTTGCCCAATAGGAATACTCCGATGCTTAAGTTAGTATTCTGAGAGAGCGGTAGAGAAAATTGAGAGTGCTAAGAGTGTTGATAGCGTAGGAAATCAATATTACCTTTGCCCATTGGGGATTGGGGCACTTTTATACTGTAACTCTGTCAAATCTGGCTTAACAACCTCTGTCAAGTAAGGCATAACCGCCACTGTCTTCCTGCCACAGCCGTTATTGCCAGGGCTGAGGTGGCGGGCACAGGCCGCCGCGGCAGGGTACGGACCCATCAGATGTGAGACATCTTTCAGAGGCAGTAGGCACGATGCTCCTGACGAGAGACGTGGGCACAGCCTCCAGATTCGGGGGGTACAGCTGTCAGACATATATTTTCTAAGTCACCGAACTACCTTGGGCCGAGCTATATTCTGCCGAGCTACCCTGTACCGAGGTACTGGTGGTGCGCCGAGCTACTTCGGCCCAAGGTGAACCCCGAGGGACAAATTAGGAGAGCCAATGGGGCTGACCCGAAGTGCTTCCACTTTGGGATATTGAACTGCAGATCGGGGTGCTCCTTTCTTGGGAAGGAAGGGCATAGCCCTCATTGGGAGG